ATATTTTTTTTCCATGATCATATTTATTGGGTTTAAAATAAATATTGATCAATTTTTTTAAATTTTTAAGTATGATCCAATATATTTCATATTTTTAAATCACTATAAACTGAGTTTTTTACATTTTATTTTAATAATTAATGACTTTATATTATACAAAAAATCAATCACTAACTATTATATATAAGATAAACAATGACAAAAGTAAGAGAATAAATAAGAGCCTAAATAAATATATATATATACATATTTTAACCAAGCCAAATAGATAATGACCACACTTATTATTATTATTATTATTATTATTATTATTATTATTATTATTATTATTATTATTATTATTATTATTATTTTCAAACAATATATAGATAGACACACACAAACAAAATGGTTGAGCGATAGCAACTTAATAGAATAACATAGGTCTTACAGCTTCAACAAATCAATAACATGTTTTTCATCTTCCCTTTTCTCTCTCTCTATCTCTTGCTCCTCCATCTTCTCTCTTTATCTTCCCTCTTCTTTCTATCCCTCTTCCCCTATTTTCAGCTTTTTTTTGTGTGTTTTTTCGAAAGAAGCAGTTTGGAACAGTTACATAACGGTGCGTAATAGGCCGTTACAGTTGTTACGGCACCATTACGACTGCTATGGTAGCCGCTACGGTTGACACACCTATAAATCTCAATCACACTGCAAAAACGGCCGTAACGGGTGGCGGTAACCACCACAACCGTTACATAATGGTGTTACGTAACGGTTGCGGCCGCTTTTTAAAACCTTGAGAGCTGCTGACCAGAAAAGACCCTGGTCGGCAGCTAACAAGACCCTGGTGGAGCTAATGTCGGGAGACAATTTATGGTCGTGCTGGACCGTTGTAGACACTGATCGGAACTAATGTTGGGACAGTTTAAGGACATGCTAGACCGTTGTAGGAATTGACCGGAATCAATGTCGGGACAATTTACGAGGGGTCATGCTCGACCGTTGTAGAGACTAACCAGAATCATTATCGAGAAAGTTTAAAGGGGTCATGTCGGACATATGCAGAGAACTGGATGCTAAACCAGCAAGCGTGACACACACATAACTTATGACGTGGTGCTGAACAATGATGGCAATAGATGACTAAGTGCGCCAAGGGACAGCTTATTAGAAAGTGCACCAAGGGACCGCTTTGGTGGTGCATCAAGGGGGCGACTTGGGTTGTACGATAGAAGGGGCGACTTGGGTTGTGCGCCAGACGGGGCAGCTTAAGTGGTTCACATGGTATATCACCATACTCACCATGATATAGGTATAATACCCCCCTCAAACTCAAATAAGTTTGAAGATAGAAACTTATTTGAGGTTGAAATAAAGAGAAAGACAAAGACAAAGTGGAACAGAATCACACACACAAAAAAATGGATTGCAAGTAAAAAAAAATATGATAGAGATATTTGAGATAGGAATAAACTAGTGGATAGAGAAAGAGATCACCACGAAGTGATACTGAAAGAAAATATGGCAGTGGAATAGGTTGAGGTCCGATCGGTGTCCAAGGTAAGGTTGTCGCTTACCGATGAAGCAAGATTACTAGGTACTTAACCTAACTCTAATACTAAACAGAATGAAAAGAATTATTTGGCTTACCCATGAACAGTGTTATTAAACACATGCCTAGGCGTGCGCCTAGGCCTAAGTCCCATCCAGGCCCAAGGTTTGTACCTTGTAGTGCTTCAGGCCAGGTGGCTTCAATAAGGCAATCCTAGGCCCAAGTCCCTACAAGGCCCAAGGTTTGCGCCTTGTAGTGTTCCAGACTAGGCAACTTCGATAAGGCACACGACTGGTCCAAGGAACAGTAAGGCCCAAGTCTTTAGGGCTTTTTTTATTGTTGCTTCAATTGGTTTTGTTTAAATTCTTACCATTGATTTAAGATGATGTAACTACAAAAGATCCCTACTCTTATTATACATGCCAATACATTGGACATTCAATCATAAATCAATGATAAAAGAAAATTAGCCCTAATTCCTAATCTTCGAAGAACACTTTACTATACTGCATGCCTTTATTATCTAATCCAACAAATCCAAAAATTCTTCTTCACGTTGTTGTCATTTTTTTTCTTCTTTTCTTACGTTTCTCTCTCATTATGTTCTCTTCTCTTCTTCTTGTCTACGTTATTGTCTTCTCTACGTTGCTATCTTCTTCTTCACTTGGTTGTGATGATGTTGCCTTCTTCTTCTTCCATCTTCTTATGCTTATTCTCCAATCTTCTTTTCTTTCTCATCATTCTTTAGACTGATCTATTTCCCCCCGCCCCTTCTTATTCTTCTTCTCCCCTCTCATTTTATTCATGTTTTATGTTAAAATTTGAAATATTGTTCATTTGTCTATGCTAAAATAGTAGTATTTGTTAGTATATGTATTTTTAAATGTTTAAGATTTCATTTTACTTATGTTGAACCCTAAATTATTTAGTTATATTAAATTATATATATTTTTACGTACAAGGTGCGCCTCACTTCGGTGAAGTTTGTGCCTTGCCTTGCGCCTTGAGCCTAGTCCCTAGGAGACCGTGGAGCCTTGGTGCGCTTATCGCCTTAAATAACATTGCCCATGAATGAGGTAGATGCCATATATATATAATAGATTCATAATATAATTTAGGAAACGCTATAAATAAGGAAACAATAACAATCAATGATTGACACAATCATAAATTATATACATAATACTAAAAATAAAATAAAAAATTATATACTCTAATTTCTATATTCGACATGACATTTGCTAAATTAAACCATGAATCAGAGTTGAATGAAAGTCAATACTTGTTTATCAAAGTTAGCCCTCTTGTATTAAGTCCTCATGTCATACATCAAAACTATTTATTAAAGTTAAATCCAATTTACAACTTATGAACAAGACAAGAGCAACCATAGTAAATTTATTTATTTATTTATTAAATTTAATTTTTTTTATGTATTTCATTTGATGCTATCCCCATAATTTGTTTTCTATCTCTTTTGCCTTTGTGGTTGAAAGTGATTACTAGTGACTGGTCTTGAGAGTAAATGATGATCAACTTTGGAGATAGCTTGTGTGCTTTCCTGTAATTAACCTATGTAATCATTGAAGTTGTGTTTTATGGAAGGATTTATGGATGAAAAGGGGAGGGGAGAGGAAATATTAAATTAAGTGAATAAATATAAGTTTTTTTTTTTCTTCACTTTTTCCTTCTTTGTCTACAAATCTCCACTTAAATTCTTGGTCCAAACACAACTAAAGGAACTCAAAATCTTTTTATGTTCATTTTCAATGGACAAAACTATGTTGAATTTTAATAGTTTTTTGGTAAATTACATGTTTACCTAGGTTCGAATTTAAACAAACTAATACCAAGTTCTTTTTTCTTGTTACATTGCTGTTATATAGCTTCACACACACACACACACACACACACACACACACTTGACTCTTTACAGATGGAATTTGGAAATTTGAAGGAAGTTTTCCTGGCTAACTTGAATTTTAAGTACTATAGCCCTTTGTATTTTGCAAATTTAGAGAGAAAAAAAAAAAAGAAAATAGATGGAATCACTCTCTGATCTCTAGTTGCCGTGAAAAAGGGGGGAACGCTATAAGCACACAGTAAAATTCTTAATTTTAAATGTTATTTTCAATTTTCTATTTCCTTGGTTTCCAATAACTTAGGAGATTTTTTTTTTAATTTTCTTATTCTTTAAACTTTCTGTATGCATAAATTCATTATAATCATATCATTTTTCATCTTTTGTTGCTCATTCCTCTTGTGTTTTGATATTTGTATATAAAAAATGAGATCTTGGGAATGCTTTTAATATTTGTTAAAGATCAGTGCAATTAAAATTAAACTGTGAATCAAAGGAATTAAAGTTTTATCAAAGTTATCCCTCTTGTATTAAGTCCTCATGCCACACATCAAAACTATTTATTAAAGTTTAATTCTATTTACAACTTAAATTAGAGTCTTTTTTTTAAAAAAAAAATATTTTTCATTTGATGCGATCCCTAGAATTTGTTTTCTATCTCTTTTGCCTTTGTGGTTGGAAGTGATTGCTAGTGGTTGGTCTTGGGAGTACATGATCAATATTGGACATAGCTTATTGTGCTTTCTTGCTGTAATTAACCTATGTAAGCAACTCAAATTCTCTTAATTTTAATTTTAAATTTCAAGGGACAAAACTATATTGAACAATATTAGTTTCTTTGTAAATAGGGTGTTGCCCTGGTGAGAATTTAATCAATCACCCTGCATACAGACTAAATATTAAGGTACTATTTAGTTCACTGAAATTGAGTGGAATGAAACATTCCATCAAAATTTTCATTCCTATGTTTGGTTAATTTAAAAAAATAATGAAAAATGTATTGTAAATAGAATCACCATGCACTATTATAAGAGAATAATCATTTTGTAAGCCTAAGGAAGGTGATGTAAGATTTATGAATTAACTATATATTCAATTGTGTCAATTTACAAAGAGTTCATCAGTTTATATAGCCCTAAATCTATGATTGCAAAAGAAAATACTAACTAATTCCTATTTACACAATAATGTCATATATATAATATATTCTCACACCCTCGCTCAAACTCAAGGTGTTTTAGCAGAAAACATTGAGAGTTTGCTAAGAAGAAACTGAAACCGAGATGTAGTGTGAGTCTTGGTGAAGACGTCCGCTAGTTGCAAAGCCGAGGAGATAAAAGGAAGCGAGATAAAACCAGACTGCATATGCTGTCGGACAAAATGACAATCAATCTCAATGTGTTTCGTCCGTTCATGAAAGACAGTATTGTGGGCAATCTAAATAGCACTACGGTTATCACAATAGAGAGAGGTCGGAGAAGACTAAGGTACTCCCAAATCCAAGAGAAGACAACGAAGCCAAACAAGCTCAGCAGTAGGATGAGCCATAGCACGGTACTCAACTTCAGCAGTAGAGGGAGCAACAATAGTTTGTTTCTTGCTTTTTCAAGAGATCAAAGAATCGCCAAGAAACATATAGAAACTAAAGGTAGACTTGCGATCATTAATATCACCAGCCCAATCGGAATCAACATAGGCCACCAAGTCTAAAGAGGAAGTAGAGGACAACAGTAAGCCCAGAAAGATGGTACCCCGGAGATAGCGAAGAATGCAAACCAAAGCAGCCCAATGGATAGAGCGATGAGTAGAAACAAACTTACTAACCACACGAACAGCATAAGCAAGATTAGGACAAGTGACAGTCAAATACACTAAACAACCCACAAGCTCGCAATAGAAAGTGGGATCATCCAGAGGGATACCATCAGTAGAGTTGAGCTTCACATTAAGCTTAATAAGGGCATTAGAAACCTTAATATCAGCAAGACCGGCACAGTGAATAACCTCATTAGCATACTTGGCCTGAGACAGAAAATCCTTTGGAGAAAAGGCAACCTCAATACCAAGAAAATACCACAACAGACCCAGATCCTTTATTTTGAAGGTGTGGAAGAGATGTTACTTGACCTCAGAGATAGCAGAAGAGTCAGAGCTAGTGGTGATCATATCATCTACATAGAGTAAGAGAGCAATAAAACCAGTCGAGGTATGTCTCAGAAACAAAGCAGAGTTAAAAGCAGAAGGATGAAACCCAAGCTTAGTAACAGCAGCCTGAAAGCGATCATACCAAGCATGAGGAGATTGCTTCAAACCATACAGAGCATGCCGAAGATGACAAACCTACCCAGAAGAGTAGAAAAGTCCAAGGAGAGGACGCATGTAGACCTCTTCAGTGAGATGACCATTAAGAAAAGCATTCTTAACGTCCATCTGATAGAGAGGCCAATGTCGAACAACAGCAACATAAATTAAGGTACGAACAGTAGTCATCTTGGCAATAGGGGCAAATGTCTCCACATAATCAATACCATACTTCTACGAGAAACCCTTAGCAACCAAGCGAGCTTTATATCACTCAAGAGAACCATCAGAATGAGTCTTGACTTTATAGACCCATTTGCAACCAACCAGAATCTTGCTAGGAGGCAAAGGAACCAACTCTCAAGTGTTAGTCTTCTGCAAGGCAAACAACTCATCCTCCATTACTTGAACCCAATTAGGATCCTGACAGGCTTCTATGTAAGACTAAGGTTCTGAAAAAGAATGAATAACAGACAAAAGGACGATAGGAAACAAAAAAACATGTATTAGACCAACCTAACCTATTTGGAGGACGACGCTCACGAGTAGGATATCGATGTGTATCAGGATTAAAGTCATTAGAAGCAGGAGGATCAACAGCAGAGGTAGAGACAACTGGTGGAGGAGAAGCCTTGCGACGAGAATAAACTAACAACGGAGAAGGAGGAGAAGCTGAAGGAGGAGAAGCAACCAGAGGTGAAGTAGGAGGAGAAGATGGAACAACCTCAGGTGGAACAGTGGAGATATACTCATTAGATGGGACCTCAGAAGGAAATGAATCAAGATGAACCAAATCCTCTTTGGAAACTAGGGCGGTGAAAGGAGGAAGCAGAAAGTAAGATAGACATTCAAGAAAGACAACACGGTGGGAGACATAAAGGCGACAGGAAATAGGGTCATAACAGCGATAACCTTTATGAGTGAGACTATAACCCAAAAAGACACACAGAACAAACCGGGTACTAAGTTTGGTCCTATCTTTACGGGGTAAAAGGACAAAACAAGCAGACCCAAACACACGAAAGCGAGAGTAATTAGGAAGTCGAGAAAATAGAGCCTTATAAGGAGATCGACCAGAAAGAAGGGGGGTAGGCATACGGTTAAGAAGAAAAACAGCAGTAAGAACTGCCTCACCCCAAAATAGAGCCGAAATGGAGGCATAGAGAATGAGAGACCTAGCTGTCTCAAGAAGATGACGATGTTTACACTCAGCTTGACCATTTTAGGCAGGTGTATCAGTACAAGAAGTTTGATGAATGGTACCCAATTTGGCCAAGTATTCACAGAATTCAGTTTTAAAGTATTCCCCACCCAAGTCAGACCACGACAATTTAATAGTAGACCCAAACTATGTAGTGACCATAGACTGGAAAGTACGGTGTATCTGGTAGAAGTCAGACTTATAAGTCATAAGATAAACCTAAGTGTAACAGATGCAGTCATCAACAAAAGACACATAGTATGCAGAACCCTTTTTGGTGAGAACAGAAGAAGGGCCCTAAACATCAGTATGAACTAAAGAAAATGGTGTATCAAATATAGAAATACTTTTATGAAAAGGTAAGGCTATCATTTTGGCAAGTTTACACCCCTGATATTCAGTAAGTACACTAGGAGAAACTTTATCCAGTATACCCAACTGAGCTAAAGACTGTAAGCGATCAGCAGACAAATGCCCTAATCTAGAATGCCACAAGTAGAAAGAACTAGACAAAGAATCTAACTGAAAAGAGAAAAAGGTAGTCTGAGAGGTTGTTATAAGCAGATGCAAGTTCTCGACCACATAGAGGTCTCTAACTCTATGGTTGTCCCAACCTGCTGCTTAGACATCCGATCCTGCACTGAATAGATAGAAGCAGAAAAAATAACATCAAAACCAGAGGTATTAAGCTGACTAATAGATAATAAATTGACAGATAACTAAGGAACATAAAAGACAGATGGAATAGAGACAGCAGACATAGCAGATGGTAGGACAGACTCGATAGATATAACAGACATACCAAACCCATTAGCAGCATTGACAATAATAGGAAAGGGAGGAGGAGTACAATCTTGAAGTAAGAAGAGATGGATAGTCATATAATGAGAGACACCAGAGTCAAAAATCCAAACAGACAAAGAAATACCAGAAGAAGACCTAAGCAAAACTGAATGAATAGAGAAAACACTGGAGACAGACGAAGATAGCTGAAAGGTAGACAATATATGTTGATGTTGACTAATCAATGTATGTTGAAGCTGACTAATCTAAGCAGTCAAGGAAGCCAAGTCAGGATTAGGAGCCAGAGTAGATTCAATAGAATCAGTGGGAGGCCAAACGGTACTCAGAGGAGGAGCGCATACCTTGATTGGGAACTGCTAAGAAGACGAGGCAGACACAGGTGAAGCAGACAAACATCCCTTCTTGGGATAGTGATACTTTCAATGGCCTCACTGATGGCAGAAGGCACACTCATCAAATGCCAGAGACATCGTAATAATAAAAAAGATTAGGGGTTCAAGTGTAAGAAATCCAAAATATAGCAAAATAGTCAAACCAAGGGTCAAAGGGTGATAAATAGACAATTGAGGGTTTAAGTGTAATAAACCCAAAATATAACCAAAATAGAGTGAAGTCTGTGAAGCAGAGATTAAAGTCACGAACTAAGAGAGACTGAAGAAGAACCAGAGAGAAGAGATCAGCTATCGAAGCACAGTGACCACATCGAACAGATGGGTCGACCAAATGGATTACCCAAGATGACCAGACAGAGGAGACGACCAGACAGAACCTCAGTAGAGAAAAGGAGATCAGCTATTGTCGGCAAGATGAAAGAAAGAGGGAGTAGACCTTCGCGCGAGGCACGAGAGAGGCAGAGATAGACGACTAGAGTCCTCTTGACTCAGATGAGCTGCGATAAGGGTCTTCGATGAAGGTTTCTCTAGGTTACGAACCAGAGATACGAACCAGATGACCAGACGAAGGACGACGTGTGACTCAGAGGGATTCTGATGAGGAAGACGACACCGAGACAATTTCTAGGGTTCGGCTTAGAGATGACTCTGATACCATTTAAGATTTATGAATTAATTGTATATTCAATTATGTCAATTTACAAAGAGTTCATCAGTTTATATAGCCCCAAATCTATGACTGAAAAAGGAAATACTAACTAATTCATATTTACACAATCATGCCATATATACACAACATGCTATATATACAATATATTCTCACAGGTGATGTAGTAGAATAAATAGGTTGTGTGTTAAATATCCTATTAGTTGTAGCTGAGTGATAATCTGTATAAATAGGTGATGTAATACTACTGTACTTGGTTTTTCGATTAAAGAATATACATTATGATTGGAGTAGAATTTGGTTCGTCTCTTTAGCCCTTAAGGGTTTTAGCCTTAATTGGGGCATTTGTATTCTCTCTCTCAATTTGTTTCTTGATTTGCATTTAGATTGCATTATTTGGTATCAGAGCATTTGTATATCAACATGATCACCGATATACATCTCAGTCCCTTGTTGAGCAATAAAGGGATGATCAAACAGTACGTGGTGATCAAGATCCAAGAGTTGTGTGTTCCCAGCCTAATAAAGCCCAGATCTAGCAAGTCATCCAAGATATCAAGTGGCAAACATAGGGATTTAAACGAACCATTGTTTCTTGTTCTTTGCTACCTCTTTCCAGTTTACCAAGTGTATCTTTCTTTTCAACTCAAAATCCCCCCCAAAGGAAAGCTGCTTGTATCTTGTCTAGTTCCTTTGCAACACATTCAGGTAGTTTGAAAAGAGACATATAGTAGACTGGCATGCAAGATAGCATAGATTTAATTAGTGTTACCCTTCCAGCAAACGATAACACCCTTCTTTTCAATCTAGCTAGCTTTCTTTTGAAATTATCCATAATTGGTTCCTGAGTTAGTTTCTTACTTGGATTAGAACCTAGTGGCATGCCAAGGTACTTCAAGGGTAGCTTCTGACATAAACAGTTTAGTTTTGAGGCAAAGTCATCTACCAAATCATCAGTTACATCCACTCCACACACTACACTCTTGTGAAAGTTAATATTTAATCTAGAAACGACCTCAAAACACCAAAGTATTCTTTTAACAAATACAATTTCAGACCACTTAGCTTCACAAAATATGATTGTGTCATCAGCAAACTGAAGGTGGCCAATGTTGGGACCACTAGAGCCAACTGACCACCTCTGATAATACCCAACTCTTTTGCTCTTGATAGAAGTAGGTAGAGATGTTCATAGGTCGGATCGGCTTAGGTTTACCCTTCACCCGTCAGCTGAACCGACACAATTGGGTTACAAAATCTTTCAACCATTATCGATCAAACTATGATTTGAAATCAGCTGAATCAAATCTCCCGGTTTGGTGATCAGTTCGGACGATTTCGAATATCTATTAGAGAAGGAATCCAAAGGAAGAAAAATTAACAAAAAAATAAGATTCAAAGTTCAAATCACAAAATCTTACAACTTATTCATAGACAAATTTGTGAAAGAGAGACTTTAAAAGAAAGAAAATGGTGAAAATAGGGCAGAGAGGGGAGATTCACCATGCTATTGCCATCATCGTCTCCAACACCCACTGCCATCGCCCATCACCCATCGCTACCACCATCGTCCATCACTGCCATTATTGTCTCCAACTTCTGGTCTTATGCTCTTAGCTAATGAAAGAGAGGACAAAAGAGAAGATTAAAGACTTGAATTGAAGGAAAGAGATTAAGAGGGGGTTTAGGGTTTCAGTTGTTAGGATTTAAGGTTTCTCTCGATTAGAGAAGAAAAACAAAGAGACGTTAGAAGAGACAACTAAGTTGGGATTCTTGGGAAATAAAAAATGACCACACCATTTAAGGTAATGTATGCATTAACCCAAAGGGTTGTGGCACTTTGGTAAGGTTTTGGGGCATAAGCCCTGAGGTCTCAGGTTCTACACTCCCCAGGGCCAACTTCCAGGGGTTTGGTGTAGTGGTCCTAAGATAACCCTTTAAGTGCTAGACGAACCATATCCAGAGCTTGGGTGTGGGGTCGAATTCTAGCATCTATTGTCACGACCCGAACGGCACCCTGTAAGGGTCGGTGAAGTGACCGACCTGTAATCCGTGATTACCAAAGGCCTTCCTATACAAATCAAAATAATCGGGGCTAGCAGAAGCTAATATATAAAAAATATAA